ACTTTCTCTGTTGGATGACCTACGCTGGTTTGTTTGGCACGTCTAAAGGTGACACCCAGCTTCTGATTAATAACACTGTCTCCACTGATACATATTTTTGGCAAAGAAATGTCTCATATCTCACCAAATGTTTCTCTCAGCGGTGATTTCTCTTCAGCAGAGCAGAGGTAGGGGGTTAGCACTGCTGAGAAGAAAACTTGGCCAAACAATGAAGGCTATATGGAAGCCTGTATAATAGCAAGAGGCCAGTCTAGTTAGTTATGCTGGGGATTTCAATGTACAGCACTCCTGGGAGAGATGGCTTTCACAGTGTCTGGGACAAAGTGCCAAGCCTGGCAACAGACAATGCACTGCAGAGATGTGATATGTATAATAATGGCAGAAAATCAAGGCTGGACTTAAAACCACTGCAGGGGGGATGTTAACAGGATCCCTCTTTCCTCCAAGGTCAACTGTTTAGTTTCAGAGTGACAATAGGGCTGAGTACGAACTCCCTCTACTTCGACACGCTTCAACCATTTTGGAAAGCATGTTTTCAGAGATGGAAGAGAAAAGGATTTTTTTTTTGTCTGTGTTTTTGGCGTCTACTGATTACACAAGTGAGCTTGTGTAACCTTCTGAAGAACAACATTTCTGTAATTTATTTATTTTATTTTGAGTGTGCTGTGCTGTTGAGATGGAGGTTGCTGAGATCATTCACTCACTTTAACAGCTACAATTCACAAATGAAATGATTTCTAGTAAATATAATTATTACTCTATCAGATAAGTTTCGACACATTATGAGGGTAAAAAATATCTCTATTCTGCTCCGATTTAGCAACTAGAATTAAGAGTGTGACAAAAAATGGACAGGGGCACAGCACTGCATTAACATACAGATGAGCCACATTGTCGCAGCATCTCCCAAAGGGGTACGCAGGTGAAATGTGTTTCATTGATGTGCCTGTAATCTGATCTTGTTGGGTCCTTAAGGTTGCCCACACATAATCTGTATTATTTTCAAGATGAATGAAACGCTAGAAAGTAATTTCCAGCACAATGGGAAGCTGTGGCAATGAGGGCACCGCAGTCTGCCACCTTGATACCAAGCAACAGACTCACAAATCTTATTCACTTACAGAGAAAATTAAATGCTTTGGGTCAAACTTTCAAAGGAGATAAGTCCACATTTGATGCTCTCCCAAAATCAACACAATTTGTGTCCATTCAGTTCTGATAAAAGCATTCAGACGTCATGTCGAATTTACTTATGAATAAGCTTAAAGAGGTGAGTTTTTGAAAGAGAACTATTCAGTACGCATCAAGGCCCAAGTGGGTCCTTAGAAATCCTTTGATAATTTGTGGGCTCTTTGGATATCAGTTACAAAGTGTGCCAGTGGCAGAAAAGGACTGTCATGACGGTAGAAAAAACTTGAGGTGGATGTCTATTGTGCTGAACCTTTACTGCTTTTCATATTTAAGTTACTTCAATTTCAAAACTAAGCTCTAAGCAGTGTCATCAAGTTTGAGTGGTTATTATTAATGTCTTTTTATCAAATGCTGAACCTGTGGACCTTTAATCACTGTTTGTTATCTGAAGCATTTGGCTTTTTGGCTTTGGTTGTATTTAAAAGAGCAAGGAAGAAAAAAAAGGCAAAACACATCTGCTGTACCTCATCAAGGCATCCCATCTTCAACCACAGGAGTTTCTCTCATAGACTGTATCTACTATGGACAACCTGGTTCTAGCTTCCGTCTTTATACACATTTGAAGCTGAATTGCTCTCTGGGATTTTCTCCACTTCCTGAAACCACCACTTGTGCAGTAGCACATTTGGTGGAAGGGTCGCTGTGATGACGCTCAGCTCAAACAGTCAACATCACATGCAGGAGGGAGAAAAAATTATATTTAGCGTAATACATTTGTAAAGTTTGTCCACAACTCTATAAGGGATTGCTGGAGGAGGCAGGATTTATGACCTATACTGCAGCCCGTCACCAGACGGTGCTCTTCTCGGGGTGGCTTCACCCAGCAAGGAGGCAGACATCGTCCATTCTATATACAGTCTATGATGAAACACTTTACAGTATTCGTCTGTTAAGCCGTGACGTAGCCGCGTTCTCCTCTTCCACTTCTGGGTCCAGCAGAGTTGTTGTTATAATGCCTCAGTGCTGTGTCCCTTGCTGCTTAAACAGATCAGAGACAAAAACAGCGACTAAACTATCATTCTCCAGATTTCCTCCCAACAACAAAGATAAGAAGAAATGGCTGCAGTTAATAAGGTAACTTCTTGTATTCAAGAAATACATACAAAATCGAAGTTTAGCGCCAACGCTTGTTCAGAGTCTGCAGACTAGCTTCCCTCGGTGTTATCAAAACTACCGTTACATACTAGACAGATATTTATATTTTTAGTTCAGTCAACCGACTACAAAAGTACCATCCGCCTCGAGGATCAATATATGTGCTTTCTTTATGTTTTTTTTCTGCTCAGCAAAGCTGTAATCAGTGTGTAGTGGAGGGTAAACAGCATCGTTACCCACATCTGTATTTACTACTCCAACCTGTCTGTAAAAAGATTATATCAGTTACTGTAGGTATTATGTCAGGCTGATTATGTCATTAAGTCAGCTACACACCAGGACAATCTGCATTATCTTACGTATTTCCAGCCTAGATATATTATACCAGTGGTTCTCAAACGTTCAAATTTCTAGGTCTTCCCCTGACTCTCTCAGTATGCAAATGGAACCAAATGAACCCGCATTTGGTTCCATTTGTATACTGTTAGAGTTACAGACTTGTATGGGTCGATTTAGACCCTCATACAAGTCCCTAGGATCCACTTAGACAACCACTGACTTATACAGTCTGTATGGTAGACTATGCTGATATAACTTATACAATCTTTATGGTAGAGTATGTGAACACAATGCAAATTATTTAATTTTGATAGTTAATGTTGTCTCCCTTTTATTGAGATATTTAGATTGTGTCAAAGGTAATGCCTCCACCAGAAACAGGATCTGAGTCTGACACCAATTTTGACTTGATGGTCAATATTACATTCATCCCCTGAGTGAGCAGGATGGCTCTTTTAGGTCAATGGTAAAAATAATGCCAGCGCTTGTGCAGTAAACAAGGGTTCAAATCCATTGCAGCTGAGGAAAGTAACAGTGCAGCTTTAAGTTTTCATTGCCAATAATTTGCTACACTGTAATTGTCGTGCACATAACTAATACATTTTAAATATCTCATCCCCTTTCTATTTACTTCTATTTAGGCGTGAAGACTTTACCCCAAACTGCAACTCAAGGGTGTGCAGTTGGCATTTCTCGGATGGCAAAGCTTCTGACCCATCACGGTTCGCTTGGAACGAGGGGAAGACTTTCCCAGGTCAGCTCAGCCATCCACCCAAAAAGAAGAAAGAAGTGGTCCCACTCCCTACCAGTGGTGAAGATGAAGGGACAAATGAACCTGAACTACACAATGCTGACATAGCAACTGCAGAGACCCCTGGTACTTCAGAGAACCCTTCTACTACAAACAGTGTTGTGGTGCTTAAGATAGAGGTTGACATGTTGAGAAGAGAGAACGAGAAATTGAAAAAAAGGAATTGGAGAAACAAAAACAAACCTTTTCCTTCAGTCAAATATCTTCTAATTCTGACAAAGTACAATATTTCACTGGCTTACCTGACGCTGCCACCATCCTGTTTTTGGAAACACTTTTATCTAAGTTTGAGCTAAAATATCATTCTGATTGGACAGTCCAGTTTATGCCACTAGTCGATCAGTTGCTCCTGACCTTGATGAAGCTTAGACTTAATTGTGGTCATTTAGACCTTGCAACCAGATTTAATTGTAGCACAGCCACAGTAACCAACATTTTTCTCACTATTGTCAGTGCCCTGTATGACATTTTGTATGTTGGTATGCTTGAGAACAACATCCCCTCCACAGCCAAGAACCAGACATCACTGCCAGTGTTTCCGTCCTTTTCCTAATTGTAGGATTGTGCTCGATTGCACAGAGGTTGCTGTCTCTAAGACAGAGCGGCTTGACACACAGAGTCATCTATACAACCAGTACAAAGGACGGACCACAAACAAAACTTTAATAGGTGTGGCTCCTAATGGAGTGTTTACGTTTGTCAATAACTATTACGGTGGGAGTGCCTCAGACAAGGCAATAGCAGCAGATTCTGGAGTTCTCAAACATCTAAAACCAGTTGACATGGTGATGACAGACAATGGCTTCACAATTCGGGACATCTTGCCAGAAGGGGTTTCACTCAACATCCCCTCTTTCCTTTTAAATGGACAGTTCACACAAGAAGTGATGAAAAACAACCTCATCTCCAGTGCTAGGATCCATGTGGAGCGCTCCATTCAAAGGTTGAAATTGTTCAGCATTTTGGACAACATCCTACATCAGTGTGTGTGTGTGTCTTACCAACCTGCAAACCCCATTCTCTGTGAAATTGCATGAACTGACTTGAGAAAAATGTATGCAGAATCAGATTCATGTCTTAACCTTAAAACATTTAATAAAGTGACACTGCATTCAGAACACTGCTTCTCCTTTTTATATCAAAACAGATTGGTAACAAAATGTTTAAAGTGCAAAAGCTACTGTAACCATAAAGTGAAAAAACTACAAGGCACCAAAACAGAGCTTAGTTTTCTTAAAAAAACATTTAGCAGCTTCACATTGTACTAGTATTACATCTCTTGTGAATAGTGCAGTGTTTACAGTGTGGATTTACAAGTCTGACAGAATTTTTAGTAGGAAACAATCTTTGTAAAATGTTTCCAGAATGTCAATGTTTCTTGCCCAAGTTGGGTCTTTCACCACTGGCACAAGGACGGGGTCAGCAAGGGTCTATACAACCAGGTGGCAAGTGCTGGCTCCAGTCAGGTGTAGGTTGCCCTGGATCTGATGCCAGTAGTGATGAGTTGGTTTTAGTGTCAGGGAATCAGTCGCTGCATCCAACTGCAGAAAGAAGTCCCTTTTCTCTGCTGCTGCCTACCGAACTGTCATATTTTTGGTTGACCAGGGACATTCGACCTAGAGGTGGGTATTACGATATGACAATTTTCACATGCCTTGAGAAAGTGAGGGAGGGAAAACATACCACTCAGTTCATAAGTTACTTGTTAGAGACAATGACATCTTAAGTTGAAATCATTATTACATCATTACTAACTTTAGAAGCTTCTTTGAAGTTGTACTGGCCAAGCAGGGTTTTGAACAAGGAAGGTGGGTACCGCTTGTGCTTGACTGCCGCCAAGACCTAACCAAAGTTGCTAGCTGTGATTCGTTTCTTGCGATAAGCCATCCTGTTATAAAGACACCAAGATACAGTTCACATAGCGAGGCATCCTATGCCTATGATGTTTTATAAACACATTAGGTGCTCATACTGCAGTATTGTTATAATCACTCATAAATGTTCAATGCTTTAACATTAATACTTTGTTAATATAGACCAGTGGTTTTCAACATTTTTCATATCAAGGCCCAAAATTCATATAGCATCTGAGCCACAGAACCACCATTAAAAAGGAACTTTGACAAAATACACTATATTACTTCAAGGTGCCCATATTTCCTGTTGCCCACTTGACCTGTATCGAAGGTGGAACGTTTAAAACAGATAGTGGCATATGGTAGCCCTAAAATGGCTGTGATCTTACATGTAATTAATTCCAAATACGTATTTTGAATTTATAAAACCTTTTAGAGCATTACAGTATGTGAAGAGCACAGCCATTCTGGGGCTAAACACATGAAAGGCTAGCCTTGGATCCAAGAACGTCACGTCCATTTTATCAAGTCAAACATTGGAAAACAATTATCTACTGATAGAATAAAGCAATGGCAGTCTTTATCCAGGGTTGATGAAACGCCAAATAACGTGGCGTGTGACATTAAAAGCCAGAATGCCTAATATTACCTTGCTAACACTAACCCTATCAGCTCGCTCACCTCAGCCTGGTATATTTTCTTTTTCATGGACGCTTGGATTTTACCTTTAATAATGCCCCCTGGGAGAACATTTACCTTAATAACTCTATCCGAGTTGAAAGTGTTAAGTCCCTTTTTAACTCTGAGTGGTTCCTCTCTGAAAAAGGAGGTTATTGTAAAGAGATTCACAGGTTCCGCCATTGTTGTTTTGAATGGAGAGTGAATGGAGGCTGATTCCCCATGGACCCGGAAGTCGCTCCGCTCACAAAATGACGTCACGCTTAACAGCCGAATTTATCAACTTACAGTGGAAAGGAAGAACTTCCTTTAACAGGCTGAAGCCCCGAACACAAACAGACTCATGTTAGACAGTCATCTGCTGAGACTGAGCTGAGTTTACAAAGAGAAATGCAGAAAGAGACAGATGGGCAGAGGAGAGAAAACATCTCCATTTATTCAAAACTGTGCATTCAAATATTAGAGCAAACTGTGTCAGTGGGGCAGCAGTGGTTAGCATTGTTGCTCTACACCAAGACGGTTCCTGGTTTAAATCCCCAGCCAAGGGGCCTTTCTATGTAGAGTTCCCATGTTCTCCAACCACCCCTAGCCAATGCCTGCTTCCCGAAAAGGGGATGTAAAGTTGATGACTTTTTATAAGTGAACAAGCTACTATGCAGTACAGAAGTTTGTGTTGAGTCCAACCCCTTGATCGACGACCTAAATTCTCAATACTTGGATTAATTCCAGTCTGTCCACATTTATCCAGTGAAATCTTTTTTTCATGGTATGCATCTCTTCTGTCAAGGATCCTCCCGTGCATCCTGGTTCAAAGCCTCCCCACCATGCCTCCTCTCCCCTCACTTATGGCTCCACATAATGAATTTAAGGAACTGAGTCATCCCTCTGGAGGGCAAACTCAGGTTTTCTGATAACAGACAGGAGAACTAAAGAGTGCGGACACAATGAGGGAGGAACCATTTGCCTTCATAAAGGCTGATGATTGTAGTTGAAAACCCACATTTTCATCATCGTACCTTCATATGCAGCTGTACATGACCTTCTCTGCAGCAAAAAGCACAAACTCATAATTAGAAAGTGAGCATACTGAGACATTTAGCAGTTCAGTATGTAGATATCTCCCTCCTGCATACCTATCACTCACCCACACAAGTGTTTTCACTCATTACTGGACTAATTAGCGCTCCTCTCAGGAATATGTGAATGTGTACAGGCTGTGTTTGATTGACATTCACATTATTCTGTTACTTTTGTACCCTTTATAGATTAACAGCTCGCAGGATTTTAACTGCTTTTGGTATATGAACTCTGCCAACCTCTTGTAATTTCCACAGCTTTGCCTAAACTCAACCAGAGCAGGAGTTTACCAGCAAATAAAAATAAGAGAAAGGAAAACTAAACCACAGATAAAGATTTTTGTTCCCCTTTCTCTTTCTTGTGTTTCATATGAGAAAAGTCTGTTGAGACTTGGCTTTGGAACAAGGTAATCATTAGCCTGACCTCGGACTGGTGCCAGTTCAGCTCCTGGACACTATCAAAGGTGCCAATAAGAAAAGCTTTCTCTCAGATTGATGCATGCATCTCCTGCTGGAGCAGAAGGCAACAGATGAACAAAAACTACAAAGATAAGCATGCTCTGTGTTGTCTCAATGATGCATTTCGAGCATTCACCATATTTAATTAAGCTTATTTAGATCTCTTGTACGCACCTTAAATAATGACAGAAAGACTGGCTGTCTTTTCAGGGAACTACACAGGTGTCCGCACTTCTTTGCAGGTGTTCAGCATTCTTGGCTGCTGGTGTGGTGGATATCTACTCCCAATTTGATCTTGAGCAGGACTGCAAAAACCTAAAGGAGAGGCAGCTGGTTGGTTTCAGGTCTCTTGTCATTGATAAAACAGGGCTATCTTCAACTTTCAGTGGGCTAAAGCAGAGTGAGATGCAGGATGATGGGTCTGTGGATTACTGCTGCAATAATTAAGCTGTAAGATTATCACAATTTGCCTTTAAGGCAAAAAAAGAAAAACCTTGATAGTCTACCACTTTAATGCAAACCTTATTTTTTGCAGGCAGAAATGCTGTTCTGATTAAGCTCCACATTTGGGAGTACATTTAAACACCTTATGTCCGATGGTTAAAGAATACTTGAAAAATCTTGACGCCAGAAACAAATTCCAAAGACGTTGTGTCAAGCATGTGTTTACCATCATGTTGCATCACTTCCTCTGCAGACATTTGGTAAGTAAGATGACCTGTATCTTGAGTTTTACTTTGTGGTGCAGTTTAGACCTCTTTTTCTGGATACAATGATGGACTACATTCAAAACTATGTTTTTTGGATGTAATCTTGATTCCATGTGGCAATTTCCACTACAGAGGCATGTCTGTTTTTATACAGCCCTGCTCAAGAACTCGAGATCAACATGTAATTTTAGGCATTGCACAGCCTTCTTGGAGTTTTGCTGTGTAACGCTGAAATTACAATTTGAAATAAGCTCTTTTAAGCACAGTTTTTCAGTTTTACCAGTTCACTCTCTTTGCAGATCTTTAAAAACATGTTGCCACAAGCATTTTATACAGTGCCCCATCTTGATTGTCATTTGTGCTGTAGTTATGCCAGAAAAATACATTTTTCAAAAAATCTCATACTTCACATTTCTTGGCTAAATGAATAAAGTACAAGAGGCATAGCTCATTCCGAGTAGCCAAAGCAATACTGTGATTTTTTTTTTAAGAAGTGAAAGCTCTTTGCTGCACAAGTGTATCTGTCAGGTTCCCAGCTGACGCACGGTTTTCACATTCTTTTTCAGATTAATTCTCAGTGATCTATTGTGAGTGATAACTGAGGGAACAGAAGTTGCATGGCCATTCTTTCTGTTAACATTCCTTTCATTCCTGCACTTTCACAAGCCTTAAGTGGAGAATAATAGCCAGGAAAATGTAGAAATGGCTGGTAAAAACTTTGACCCAGCATGTGGTATCTTGGCAGGGTGAAGTGTTTTGTTTGTGATGCTGCTGCCAACAAGAGAGAAGCTAAAAACAGCTAAAACAGCTTGAAAAGAAAAGATAATGAGGTATGATGTCAAAGTGGGGGAGGATATGATTAGACAAGTGAGGGAGGGTAAACTTGACAAGGTGAAATGTGTTTGGTCCTTTTTTGTTTATGTGAGTAAAAGGAGCAATATAACCACAACCTGACATGTCTAGAAAAACTTGGAAATTAAAGGGATATTCCGGCGTAAAATTAATTTAGGGTCAAACACACCGTATCACAGAGTTAGACACCGCCTCAAGAGATAAATGTTGCCAACTGCTTGCTTCTCTAGTTATACCAACGTTAGTAACAACTACATAATAGCAATTCACAGCAGTCTACGAAGCCATAAACAAACCTCAACTCAACGCCACAAATAATGCTCAGAACAGCTATCGTGCGGTTACCGTTGCTGAAGTTGGTATACCTAGAGAAGCAAGCGGTCGGCAACATTTATCTCTCAAGGGGGTGTCTCGGTGTTACAGTGTGTTTCATCATAACGTAAATTTACACCAAATTATCCCTTTAAGATCATGTCCTGCTGCACTGTCAATCTAAGAGCAGCAGGCTGGCACTGCTGCACTGTCTCTAAGTGAGTGATAGTACAAAGAACTGAATTTAACTGTAGCAGTTTTAATTGATTTCACTGTTTTTGTTTTATTGCTGGTAAAAGAAGGTTAGTGGCATGCAATACTTCAGTGTTCAGAGCTGACATCTTAAAGTTGCTCTATGGCCTGAATTCTGTGCACAGTTTGCAAAACACAGTATGCTTCACAGTCTGGATTTAAAGAAGGCTTAAATTATTCCAGAAGTCATTTTAACCTTCTGTCAACACAGGCCCTGAAATGAGTCAGAGGTACTGCATTACAAATGTGCAGAGTGGACCTTGAGTAAAGCAATTTACAAGCACGCCATGCAGTTTGAGCTCCCGGCCAGAGAGGGGCAACAACAGTGATCCAGAGCTCTTTGAGCTTCTAAACAGGGGGAAAAAAAGGAGAATAAAGGTTTAAAAAAAAAAAAAAAAAGAGCCAAGTCTTTTGGCCTCTGAACTCAGATCACACAGAGTGAGTGTGAGTCAGAGAGGAATTTTTGTGTTGTTGAAATGTGCAGAGAACATCAGCTGTGCACATACAGTATGCTTGATGTGTGTGCGTGTGGATACCTGTCTGCAGACAGTCAGAGACAGATGTGATGCAACATTTGCAAAACCTTTTTCCAGACTTCTTCAAACACCAGTGTAGGTTTTTCTCACTCTAATGCACCGTTCAACAGTATTTGATTCACAGCCCCCCTCTTTCCACTTGCTATGACAAACTCCAGCTCTGATGACACTCTGTGAAACGTCTGTGCCGCTTCCTGAGAGTGTACAAGGTCTCAGCAGTATTCCCTGTGAGTTGTTGTCAGTCACTTGAAAGTAATGAGTTAATTATCTTCAGGGCTGTGATTCTACTTTAACCCCACATTAGCAGTCATGATTTAAAGTAAATGGTTTTAACACTGATTTTGCAAAGGTAAACACAGAATAAGTGATGGTGCCCAACATGTCACATGATCAGTGAGTTTTTATTTTTATTTTTTTCCCATGGATTTTGATGAATTGTAGCAGAGACAGTTTGGTTTCTGTTTTCAGACAGTAGGGTGCCTCATTTTCTCTTCTTTGTTGACTCTTTACGAGGGATGAACCCATCAGTTCTTACAGAGTTACTTCCAAATGTCCGTAACTGTCTCTCTTCGAGTTGTTTCAAAGTCACTTTAATTCCAGAAAGCTCTGGTATTCCCTTAATCACATCACGTGACTTTTGACCAATCTGACATTATGTAGTAAACCTGGATTCTAAAATGGGGGGTTAGGGTTGGGTCAGATCTTGATATCCCCTGCAGGCCCCTAGCTCCCACCTGCAACCCCTTCAGTCCATGCCCTTTTAAAGTTTTGGAATCCAGATTGGATACCAAGGAAGGCCACTGGGGGCACCCACTGGATCCTGACGGTTAAGGGTTTTTGGGCTACAAGGAATGCTGGGTCTCATTTGGAGGCCCACCTGCTGACCCCAGATACACTCCCCTTACTCTTGCCCTAATCTTGACTCTGCTTTA